AAGAGTTAGATGCAAACGGCAGGAGTAGCATGGTGTCAGAGATGATGTTGGTTCATGCGAGGTTGGGTGAAACAGATTTTGTGGTGGAATTTTGAGTTAACAGGTGAGAAAATAACAGCTTGTCTGCCAGTGACACACATGTTCCGGACTGCATATTCATATTTTAACTAACTGTCCTGATGCCACAGGTGCGTGCAATTATCTGGCATTTCACAAACTGAGTCTCAGCCAATCAGAACAGAGAACAGCAATTATTCCTGTTGAGACTAAATAAAAACGACTCAATTATTTACGACTTTATTTTCTAATATTGTTATATCCTTTTCAGTATCTAAAACAGCACAATCTTTACAATTATTAAACCTGAATATAAATTTCTACATTGGAAGGCTGCGTAAATCCTGCGCTCCCTGACCACTGGAAAAGATCCGAGTGAAGAAGCTTTTTAACATGACCGGATGACTACTGATGATTTCTGTCGGTAGAAGTGGCATCAAACTGAACAAATTACAGGAAGAGAACAATCACAACAGCGATGTCAAAATTCTAGAACATTGGTCGCTACTGGTGCAATGATCATGTAACAGACTATTTCATTTAAAAGCGTCATGGGACTAAATCAATTACCATTAAACTACAAAAGTAAAGACAAGTTGCAGACTGTTTTTTTTCAATCGTCCCCGGCAGCTGAGGAAGAGAGGGCTGAGGTGTTGCCTGACGGAGGATTGGTCAGAGTGGAATCTGTGACCGTGGAGGCGGCAGAAACAGTCCAGAGCAAGTCAACGACCCCATCAGTAATCACTGATCCAGTAACAGGGTTAGTTAAGCTGTCTGAACTTACCACACTGATCCCACGTAGAGAGTACAAGATTCATGGTGGTCAGATCTCAGATTTTGATTCTGATTTGAGTTACAATAGTTTGTGCAAACAAATTGATGAAGGGATAAATGAAGGGTTCACAGAGGCCGAGATTATCAGGACCGTGCTAAAAATAATCAAGCCTGGTACCTTTAAAGACATGCTTGTCACCAAAGATAGTCTTACTGTAGCTGAGCTTAAGCGTTTCTTAAGAGCACATCTACGGGAAAAAAGTAGCACTGAATTATTTCAGGAACTGAGCAACGCTAAGCAACATGATAAAGAGGCGCCACAGCAGTTTATGTATAGATTAATGGGGCTAAAACAATGCGTGTTATTCGCGTCTAAACAAAATAGTGGTTTCCGTTATGACCATAACTTAGTGCAGGGTGTGTTCCTTCATTCACTGTATCAGGGTATGAATGAAAAATGCTCATACATTAGACGAGACCTTAAACCTCACATTTCGGACCTTAGTGTAACAGATGACTCCATTCTGGAGCTCATTACAAAGGCCGTTAG